CGCCCCCTTTTACAAACTCGTTTATATATACCATCCTATAAGCAACTACCATTGACATGTTTGAATACCAGATTTCAAGTTCGTGGGACTTATGGTTCCGTAGATATAGCTGATAAAAATTTCCACGCCTATGGAATGTGCCACGCCCCCTTTTACAAACTTAGTTATATATACCCTCGTATAAGCACCTACCATGGATATGTCTGCATACCAGATTTCAGGTTGGTGTGACTTATGGTTCCGAAGTTATAGGTGATAAAAAATTCCACTCCTATGGGATGTGCCACGCCCCCTTTTACAAACTTAGTTATATATACCCTCGTATAAGCACCTACCATGGATATGTCTGCATACCAGATTTCAGGTTGGTGTGACTTATGGTTCCGAAGTTATAGCTGATAAAAAATTGCACGTCTATGGGTTGTGCCACGTCCCCTTTCACAAACTCGTTTATATATACCCTCCTATAAGCACCTACCATTGATATGTCTGCTTACCAAATTTCAAGTTTGTGTGACTAATGGCTCCGAGGTTACAGCTGATAAAAAATTCCACGTCTATGGGATGTGCCACGCCCCCTTTTACAAACTCGATTATATATACCCGTCTATAAGCATCTACCATTGACATGTCTGCATACCAACCCCTCTATTCTAACAGAGTTACAAAACTTAGCTCATCACTGTTGTGATTTCAAGTGCGCCGAGAAATGTGTCACAAAAAATTCGATTTTGAGTGCTAGAAAAATACACAAAAATTTAAAAAATTGGATTGAAGCGGCAAGCTTTGAGGCGCGTTAGAAATCACAGCTGTGGTGAGCTAAAGTTTGTGACTTTGTTAGAATACGGCTGCAAGTTTTAAGTTCATGTGACTTATGGTCTGGAAGTTATGGCTGATTAAAAATTTCGCGCCTATGGGAGGTGCCACGCGCCCTTGTCGGATCCAAATTTTGTTCACCCTATTATAGGCCCAGGTGTAATAGCAATACTCTGCACTTTTAATATACTTACTTCACACTCCCGCTTTTGTTGCTCCTGCGGTGGGCCACTTGGTGGGGGCCTTGTTGTTTATTTGCTCCCGCGGTGGGCCACTGGTGGGGACCTTGTTGTTGGTGTTAGTACCGCTGGAGCGTTGGCAGTGTTGCTACTGCTGCTCTTTTGCTGGAGCACTCGCTGATCTCACCGTGGTAGTTGCAATGGCGCTTGTGGTCTTGCCACGATCCTGCGAAAGAGACTGAGGTAATGATTTAGCATACATTTTTATTTATTTTTGCTCAGCGCCCTGCTAATCAGGGACTTTCACCGCACTTGCACTGCCCTGCTAATCAGGACTTTCTCTGCACTTGCACTGCCCTGCTAATCAGGGACTTTCACTTGCAAGCTGATTTTTTGCGTTTATCGCGCACAGCCCTGCTAATCAGGGACTTTCACTTGCAAGCTGCTTTCTTGCGTTTTTCTATCACTGCCCTGCTAATCAGGGACCTTCACTTGCAAGCTGATTTTTTGCGTTTATCGCTCACTGCCCTGCTACTCAGGGACTTTCACCGCACTTGCACTGCCCTGCTACTCAGGACTTTCACTTGCAAGCGGTTTGTTTGCGGTTTGCGCTTGTTGCCCTGCTTTTTCGGGTCTTTTACCGCACTTTCACTGCCCTGCTAATCAGGGATTTGCACTTTTTACGAACTTATTTCGCCTTATCGCTTGTTGCCCTGCTTTTTCGGGTCTTTTACCGCACTTTCACTGCCCTGCTAATCAGGGATTTGCACTTTTTACGAACTTATTTCGCCTTATCGCTTGTTGCCCTGCTTTTTCGGGTCTTTTACCGCACTTTCACTGCCCTGCTAATCGGGGACTTGCACTTTTAAGCGATTTTTTGGCGTTTGTGCTGGTTGCCTTACTTTTTAGGGTCCTTTGCGGCACTTTCAAATCAGGGACTTGCACTTTTTTTCGTATTTTTCTTGTTGCCCTGGTTTTCAGGGGCTTTTCTTCACACTTACAATGCCCTGCTAATCAGGGACTTTCAGTTTTCAAGCACTTATTTGGCGTTTGCGCTTTTTATTTCCACCAATATATGTATATATATATGGATATGTATATATATACATATATAAGTAACGTTGGCCGTTGCAGTAGAGTAGCGGGATTTTACCGCTCATCTTAACTCATCTAGTAGTTCCGCTACTCAGCGTATATGTGGTCCGGACCACGTTTGGACCACGCTTTTTCGAGCGCCTTCTTTACACCAATTTTGTATTATAGGGAATTTTCACGAGGTGCTTTTACAGGCAACTTTCAGTTCAATGCAGCAATTGCCTAGTGTAACAAAGGCCTTTCCACTGGTTGCTTGTGAAGGTTATCTCATGTAAATTCCCTATTATTTTCACTCACCTCGAGTTATTCTCCGAGTGCACCCTTTTGACAATAGTCACTCAGAAGGGGATTTACCTCGTTCGTAATTTTGGCTGCTCCTCCTAGATTACTTTCCGTGGTTTTTCCTTTGAATTTTTTCACTTTTCCTTATTTTTTTTTGCAATGTGGCGTAGCTGGAACAAGTTGTATTTATTTGGTTTGCAACCCTACAAGAATTGTGTGATGGAAACTAACATATTCTCATTTATATTACTAACACATTTGCAAAGTTTGTGTTGGTTAAAAAGAGACCACTAAATAAGGCCATAAGTTGATTGAGATCTCCATCACCGGGGATTATCACATGATCAATCACATGACTATCACTGTTCTTGTAGGGAAATGGCCGGCTACGTGAAATGTCACATGCAGCTTCTTTCATGCGGGTTCATTCACAATAATGTGTCCTAATAAAACTTTACCAATGGGTCATGACGACAGTGGTTAATTTTTGGTTAAGTATATTTTAGTTGAGATAATTATAAAAAATTAGTACTTTAAAAAATCGCAAAATTACTGAACGAAACAAGATTATCTTAAAGCAACCGGCTCGAAGGAGCATGTTCGAGCGGGGCAATTTAGGGGCCGAAAATCCTCGTGATTCCGGCAACGGGGATCAATGGGGGAGCCGGTTCTTTAAGACAATCTTTTACTTACTCTTCACGAATGGCCCAGCCTCCAAAGGTATTGAGAGATCGGGTTTTTGTATAATATACAAAATTTATGTTTATTGATAAATAAATGTACAGAAAGGAGTTGACTCACCTGAGGTGTAGCTGGCTGTCGATCACAAAAAAGAAGAGACTATACTGAATTGCCGCATTTATAGGCTCCACAGAAGGTGGAATCTGACAACGGGACCGACTAACAGGCCTCGTGCCAAAAGGGAGACAACGTAACGAATCCTGTCAGCGAGTGATTAGCAGCGAAATTTCTCGGTGAGGTTTGTATGCTAAACAAGCTGCAGGCGTAAACACACTCCCTCCTTCTCTACCCGAGAGCCAGGGTCAGACCTCCTGAAGTCCAGACGTTCTCACAATATGATGTTGCACCGCTCCACCTCGCCGCATCTGAACGCTACCGCCGACACGATTCGCCCGTCACTAAAATGCGAGCCAAGAGGGAACATGGCCGCAACCACGTCCAACAGCGCATTCGAGAGCTCTTTAATGAAGCGGTGTTAACTCACGAGGGGCTATATGAGCTGCTGCACTTCTCACCGGTTCAGGTGGGCCGCCATGTTGAGGACATGAGCCCCACCGTTATCGACTTTTAAATTTTTTATAATCCTTTTAATTGTAAATTTATTTTAATTGCATGCGGCTGGCAACACCATTGTTTTTCAATTGTGAACTAATGATCAGTTTTGCCTTGTAATTGTAAGTGGTATCACGGGGTGACCCGTGTCTGCAATCAAATAATAATAGTCAGTTGCATTCCAACCATCGCCGCCGTCGAATTGCAAACCTGGTTAAATTAATATTATTATAATTAATAATATAATTAATTCAACAAATTTTATTGAGCTTGAGGCCGCTTTTAACGAAAAGTTATTGCGGAAAAGCAACAATAATTTGGAAAAATTGGTAGAAGTGACAACTATTTCGGAAATCACGACATTTCCTCATCAGACTTCTTTCTGTGGGATTCGATCCAACGACCCCAACCGACTCCGCCAGTTGCCTACGCATCATGCTAAGTTCGCCTTGTAAATTCTTGTTGCTTTTTCCACTTTTTCATTTGTGAAGCCAACTACAATCAAGCGCAGCTATTCCAGTGCTATTTAAACTTGATCATGTGGTTGTTTGTTTTGTTGGTTTTAATTAACAATTCCATTTTTAGAATGTTTAACTTTTAGGTGTGCTCGTCCGTAAGTTATTTGTTTTTGTTATTTTATGGCCTTATAACAATTATATTCAACAAATTTTATTGAGCAAAATAACAAAATCAAATAATATAATTAATATTATAAATTAATATTAATATTGTTAGCGTGTTTGTTAAATTAATATTATGTGCATACATTTAAGAAGCAATTGGTTACGTCCCAACCATTTCCGTCCTAACAGTTTCCGTTGCCTTTGTCAATTTACTCTCAACCTCCGCTAACGAAGTTTCACTTAAAATCCTTATCCCCTGTTTGGTAAGTACATAGTTTTAAGCCGATCTGAACCATTATAAACAATTGTCGTTTGTTTGTCAAGGTCAATGCCCATACGAATTTGATGGATTTCAATTTAGAGATTTTTGAGATAAAAATTACTAAATAACATGTGGGGGGCTACATCCCTTACAAAAGGTGACCATATAATCCGCTTTTACTTCAAGTATATTCTTATATATCATGTTAGAGCATTCTAGCTTTATAAGTTTTGAAAATATTGCACTTTTAAGGTTTTTTTTTCAAAATTCCCATTATATGAGGAGTGAGCGTATTTGTAGACTAACTAAGTTCACTTAAGCACTATTTATTAATATAAGCTTTTGAATGAAATGCTCCCACTGTGCGGCGTAAAAAAAATTTCGCTAGAAATTATTTAGTGTACACTTCTGTTTTGACCATTTAAATATTTACTAAACATTATTTTTTAGGCATTTATTTTGCGGCGGTTAATGCAGCGTATGAACCTCTTTTAGTAAAAAAGTCGGGCGTGAGTGATATACCTAGTGTGATACTAGTACTCGATGGACATAGTTACGTATATCGAGAAAATATTTATACATTGGCCAAAATTAAAGGTAAGCAATCTTTCGATTCACCAGTTACAATTTAAAGAAGTTTAAAGTTATGATAAATCGATTGAGGTTAAATGATTACCCTTATTTTTGATTGGAGGTAATGACCTAAACGATTTTGGCTGAGTCCAATAAAGCACTCCGATCGTATCTTGTCCGTGCCAACCATTAGCGCACACAAGGGGTGCGTTTTGGGGTTAAAACCCCCTAAAGCTATAACCTCAAATACAAACTGTATCTTAAGCCTAGAATCCAGCGCTCAAGAAAAATCACAAGTAATATTTTTTGTTATTTATGTTGCTTGAAAAATTACTTTCCTTTTGCTGCATATTTTCTTGAAGAAATAAATATACGAGCATTTTTTTCTTGAGAGCTGCAAACTGATTTAAGAAGTTTTGATAGAAGAATACTTGTGCGCCATTTTATAGAAATTGTTCGTTTTTCTTGAGAGCTCTTAAAAGTTTAACTGCGAATGTAAACATTGTCATAAAAATATGCAATGCATGCCTAAAAGATTTCACCACTGATATGCACTTAACAAGGATTCGGAGAATTAATTTGCTAACTTCTAGTTCGTTCCACCAAAATGAGCTACATAATAAAAAAAAACAAGTTCAGTTAATTTTTTCGGTATTTGAAATACATATGTATGTATTAAAAAAATTAGGCAACCGTGAAAAACCAGAAATCTAGGAAAATGAACATAAAAGTGTAAATATTTCATGGAATTAATTAATTTATTTTTATTAAAATTATTTTTTTATATTTTTTTTTATTACTTTTGAATGTTGAGCGCATCTTGAGTTTATAGAACTTTTTATTAAACAAGTAATTTTTAAGCAAAAACACAACTGACTTCAATTCTCATATACACATTTTGTTGTACCGTTAATTTCTTCATGATCCAATGATCGGATCTAAACCAAATTACGGGACGACCCTTGAGGCCTTTTCGACAAAAAAATAATTATTGAAAACGGTTCACGTGGTCCGAAAGAAAGAAATAATATTCCTCTCCCTTTTTTTGAAGTCGGTAGAAAATGTTCGACTTCTTCGTTAATTTTATGTAAATAATTTATGAAACTTTAAAAAGTTTATTTATTTATTACATACATAAAACTTCCATACATGTATTTTAAAGAGCGTATTATTTGTAGCGAATTTTCTGTATTTTCTGGTGATATATCTTCAGAAGTATAAAACCAGTCTTAAGTTTTATAAAAGTGTGTCAAAAATCGGTTTTCACAGCCTTTTTTACGTCATTTGTAGGTTCAAAATCCATCGAGATTAAAACCGTAGCTGATCCTTTTTCGAGATATTCACATTTTTATATCTTACTTTTTAAACGCAATAATCCTTGTTTTTACTAATACTTATCATTTTAACAATGCAGGAATCCTATAAAAATTTGATACAAAGGTCTAATTGTACCTTTGAAAAAGTTATAGCATATTTTTGTCATTACGCATTTTTGGTGTCAAAAATTGTAAAAAAAAACTTTTATTTTCAGTCTCTGATTTATATATAGGTACATATACATAATAATATGTATATATAAATCGGAGACTGAAAATAAAAGTTATTTTACAATTTATTTTCAGTCTGATTTATATATATGTACATATTAACTTAAAATAAAAGTTATTTTACAATTTTTGACACCAAAAATGCGTAGTGAAAAAAATATGCTATAGCTTTTTTAAAGGTACCATTAGACTCATCCCCCATTGTAGATAGTTATTCCTCCATGACTTTTAAAAACCTGACTTTTATCATTTTGAGCAAATAATATTGATTAACTCTACCTTCTATTTTTTTTAAGGCAAAAATAAAAGTTGAAATTTGCCTTTTTTTGAGCAGAGAATAATCAGTAATTTTTGCTTTTTATTTTTTCAGGCAAAAATAACAGTCAAAGTTACAAATCAAGTACACTGAGGGAAATAATGCATAGCAAAAATGAATACTTTATCTTTGATTACACCGTGCGACAGTCAATTTCACACACGAAAAAATTAATATATTCACAAAACTGGGGGCCAAATATAGTAAAACTGCGTTTTTATTTTTTTTCTCTGACGTCAGGTTTTTTTTAAAGGACTTTGAAATTTCTACAATATTATTGAATAAAAAAATTATTCAAAAGATTCGATGCATTGTTGAATAACAATATGGGTATCAATTAAAAGAAAAAATTCTGTAGAATAGCAAAAAATAATTTTTGGGTGCACCAGGACGAATAAGTATTGAAGATGTCGTTTTAAAACTTTATCCTTGAATATCCTGGGAAACTTCCAATATTTATTTTTGAAAAAAATATGTCAGGGACGAATATGTTAACTACCACTTCCTCGAATTTCGTCCTTCTAACTTCATTAGTTTTAAATAAAAAAATTTTACACCTCTCTTTATAAGATATTGATAGTTACAATATACATAAATTAAGATACTGGAATCATTATTATTTAACCATGTACACGCTCTAAAAGAACAACTGATATACCTACGGTTTAAATACCTTAATTGTTTTGTATACAGGGGCGTAGCCAGCCTTTCATCTAGGGGACAGGAGTTTATATAGAGGGAAAAAATGTTTTTACTATTTTTTTTTTGTGTATATAAAACGAAATTTTTGGGTTAAAGAAAGTATAAGTTTTCTGGTAGCCTTTACAACGATACCAATTTTTTAAAAATCGGTTAGGTACTTTTTTGTTTAAAATATTTTTCCTTTTAAAAAAGGTATTTTTAGCTTTCAAGTTTTTTCTCAAATTTTTATACACGAAATATACAAATATGCAAACCCGAAGAAAGGGTATTTAATAGCCTTTACAACGATGCCACATATTTCAAAATCAGTTAGTAATTTGTGTGTTGAATTTTTGTTCTTTATAAAAAAAGGTATTTTTTTTATTTTAAGTGTTTTTTCTAAAATTTTTAAACACGAAGTATACAAATACGCATAGCAGAAGAAAGAAGGTTTGATTGCGCTTACAACGATATAAACTTTTTAAAAATCGATTAGTAATTTTTTTGTTTAAAATAGTTTTTTTTTATAAAAAAAGGTATTTTGTCCTTTTAAACGTTTTTTTCGCAAATTTTTACAGAAAAAGTATAAAAATATGCATATGAGAAGAGAAGAAGTTCTAATTACGTTTACAACGATACCAACTTTTTAAAAATCAGTTGAAAATTGTTTGAAATATAAGGTTTTCAGTTTTTCGAAGACCCGACCTTTGCCCACTTATATCACCTGTAATATAAGTTAAAAAAAAAAAACAACGTTATAAACCATTTAAAAAAGAGCAAAAGCCGGTCTACGACAGTATTTTTCGTTTTTTTTTTTTTAGTTATTTACATATAATAATAAAAAATAATTTTTTACCATATATCCTATTTCGAACTTCGAAGGCCCATATCTCGATTTCGGAGGCTAACTTCGAAGAGAATCACTTTTTTACCTATGACTCAATCTCTTAAAAACAAAAAAATGGTTTGGTCCAATACCCAGCGGAGTGCTGTTCAGTGTAATGATTCTAGTATCTTCATTTATGAGTGTATATTGTAGCTATCAATATCTTATAAAGATAAGTGTACATTTTTTTATCTAAAACTAATAAAGTTAGAAGGACGAAATTCGAGGAAGTTGTAGTTTATATATTAGTCCTTGACATATATTTTTTTCAAAAATAAATATTGGAAATTTCCAAGGATAACACTGGACCACAAATTTCAACTTTTTCTCTTTACCAGAAACGCCGTTATGAAATTCTTATGTAAAATCACCCCCTGATTCCGAAAATCAAGGTTATTTTTAATTCTATGGTACCGTTTTTGAGATATTTGCAATTTACCGTTTTTGCAAAAAAAAAAAAAATGGGTCCACTTTATCATATATATCTCAAGAACGAATTAAGCAATTCCAAAACGGTTTGAAGCTTTTAAAAGGTAATAAAATTTTCTATAAACTGTGCATACAACACTTTTTGCTAGGCCCTGTAGATTCAAAGATAACGAACAATCATTACCGATTTTTTCAATTTTTTTTGTAAAAATATAAAAAAAATTGTACTTTGCGGGGAAGGATCTCGAAAACCTTTTATTTTTTTGCAGATTTTTTTTTTCTCCCTAAGCTCTGTTGTATTACAAAAAAAATAAGCTATCATCGAAGAAAATCGATGCAAAACTACGTAAGTTATAAGCGATCAAATAAAAATACCCAGGTTGCGCAACTTCAATGTATGTACCTATACATACATACATATATTAAAGGTATAAAGTGCAAGTGAGATATTATCCGGATAAACGAATAACACCATAACAATGATAACACTTTTTCTTTAAATAAATCAAATAGTACTTTTAATACTCGAATTGTATTATAGTAGGTAGAGTGGTTGCATCGAAAGGAAGAGTGGTTGGGTTCGAAACCTGCTGTAGGCATGTAGTTATAAACATGTATTTCCGTCAGTTATGGGTAAGTATGCAGGTAGATTTTCAAAATTATAAGACACAGAAAATTTCTAAAGCCTACATCTAAAACAGGTAGTATTTTCTTTTCCCGACTTGTTATAAAAAGGAACCTTTCTGTCTAGGTAAGATTTGATTTTTTCAATTTTATTCTTGTTCCGAGTATAAATATGAGTTAATGCGCTTTGAAACTTCATAACATCTTCAAGGCTCGCCGGAGATAGTTCAGTTCATAAGTCTAATTTCAAAACCGTGATTTATTAAAAAAAATGAAATGAGTAAAAGGACGCGAGAATTTGAGTGTAATAAGGATCCAGATATGTTCTGTTTCATGTGTGGCCAATATACTATCATAAGGCGACGACGAGTGTTCTCAGATCATATCAAAACTTTATACTCCAAGTATTTTGGAATTGAGCCTAAAAATGCTGAAAAACCATGGACACCGAACACTTTGTGTACATCGTGTCGAGTAGAATTGATTCAGTGGGAATCAGGACAACAAACAAAATTTGATACACCAATGATATGGAGAGAAC